GCAATTGCGAGAAAAAAAGTCAGAATTGCAAGATATAAACTCGCAATTGCGAGAAAAAAAGTCAGAATTGCAATATATAAACTCGCAATTACGAGAAAAAAAGTCAGAATTGTGAGTAAAAATGTCAGAATTGCGAGAAAAAAAGTCTATATTGACAACATGACTAAGCAATTTGACTGTCTTATCCGTACACAATGACACAAGGACTTGTCATTCTGATGGCACTGACATGTTCATTGAAACAGATATTTATTTTTGAAAGATGAACTAAGGATTTTGAGCAAGAGACTGGCTTTTGCAGGTAATCCATGGTGTTTTGCTATTTGTACGAGTTGTTTTGAGAAATGCACTTACTGTTTTGCAAATGTCAAGGATGATTCGAGAAATGTACCAAAGCGACTGAGAAAAACTGTAATAGGGTTAAAATTTTAACTAATAGATATCACCTACTTTCACAGTTGATTAATCACAGTGCATTGACACAACTCTTTTGTTTACATTAATTGTTATGTTTAAATATATAAATGCACCATTTTCTAATTAAATATGCCATAATTTGCATAATTTACCATAATTTGCATACAACAAAGCAGGTTCAAAATCTTTGTTTCTTTTTGTTGACATATTAGAGTTTTTTGGATCTCTTTTTATAACTCCATAAATCAGAAAATGATGGAAGCCTGTTTCCACCACTGAATAAAATAAATAAATAAAACAAGGTAATTGTGACTTATTTCTCATATTTAAACTCACAATAGCAAATAAATAAATAAATAAAAATAAAGAATTTAAGTCAGAATTGAGAGATATGGACTTGCAATTGTGAGAAAAAAGTCAGAATTTCTAAGTTTGTTTTGCGCAATTGAGTTTATATCCCATAATTCTGACTTTACAACTCCCAATTGCGAGTTTATAGCGCGTCTGAGAAAAAAAAAGTAAGAATTGTGAGATAAAAATTTGCAATTACCTTGTTTTATTTTTTATTCATTGGTGGAAACGGGCTTTCATAGAAAATAATGACACCAACAAAAGAAGAAAAAAAAAACTCCATGTTTTAAGAATTAAATGTCATATAAGTCTGGCAAATGATACATGAACAAACCCCTCTTTAAAAATCTTCAGAGTAATAAAGGTTTTTCTAAAACTGGAAAGTTGGTGCATGTAAGTGCTTCTAGTGTGAGTTTAACACTAAACTCACACTAGAAGTGAGTTTTGCTTCTAGTGTCTTGCCTTAATGATAATGTTTTTGTCTTTTTGGAGCTTGAGAGATAATGCTCAATAAATGAGCAGCTCCGCCATGCTTGGAGTGGCGTGTGTAAATAATGGCAGAATTTTGGGGTGAACTATTCCTTTCATGAGGCTCTTTAAAGAGGATTGTCCAAATAATGTTCATTGTTTGGTCAGAAGTACCAAAGGGGCTGAGACTAATCAGTTTCCCTTTAATTTTCAGTTTATTGAGCTACAAAATTCAAAGCCAGAGACTTTTCCCACAAGCCTTTAAGTTCATTGGAGGAAAAACGATTTCCCAAAAGGACCTGCCATTTTCCCTTCAGTTTACACAGTTCTCCCCTCAGTTTGTCGACTTCAGCCTGGGTAAACCTCTGTATCAATATTTCTGCTGTTCAGAGAGACGATCTCGCCAAAAGAGCAGCTGCGATTATGTCTGAATGAAGTCCAAATAAAGTATGCATAAATCCTGAACCAATTAAAAGGCCCCACAGGCATCTTACATTTATTCCAGCGATAAAACCAAAGCCCATCTAGCTACTAGTGGAAAACTTATGATTAAGTTATTTAGATTCAGAGAGACAAAAGCCAGCAAAGCTGTAGGTTTTCTGATGCATCTCATATCCCAGAATGCCTTGTGGCAATGTGTATTCCCTCACCTGAGATATTGGTGGTGATTTCGGTCAGGGCGGTCTGGCCAAAGCCCTTGGCGGTGCGAGCGCGAACAGACACCAGGTATGTGGTGCCAGGATGAAGCCCGGAGAACATGTGATACGTCTCGTTCTTTAGTTTGGAGACGGTGCGCCGTGGGCCAGGAACGTTGATGCTGGGATCTGACGATTCGATGCTCTGGTAGCTGATCTGAAAACAGGAAACAGAGAGTGAGCCCAGAGGAAATGATGTAACAGCAAACGGTGGAGGATCAGTGTTGGAGTTTAGCTTCACTTTACCCACAACAAAACCTGATGTCTTCACTTACATTACCATATTTGAAGGTACGCTTTATGCTGCAAATATTATTCCATGCAAGGGATTGTAAATTTAACAAAAAATGGTAGCAATCATGGAGTCTTATTACATTCAGAAATTACAGTATATTTCTTGACTCATTTAACACTTGCTGAGATTTTACGCTTCCATTTTCATCCATGCAAGAGGAGTCACATTCTTTTTATACATATATAAATCTGTACCACTGAATATATGTAACATAAAATGTAACTCAGCAGGCAGGTATGTTTTCATCAAGAGTTTTGAGAAATGATTTTGGTAAATGCATGATTCAAACGATTCAGAAAATAACCAATTTCTAACTTTGTCTCCATTATATGATAAAAATGCATCCACCATCCACCAAATTAACAAAACTCAGTGTATACACTGCATCACGATACATCGTGATTATATCAAATTTATTTTGTGCATTTTTATTAAATTATATAAGCAGGCTACTTTTTAAAATAATTACAAATTAATAAAAAATCCTAACAATTGTTAAGAACTTAACCAACTAATTATAGCTTCAAAACATACAAGCCAATATAAAGTAATAAAGGGGGAAAATACAATTAAAAAAAGATAAACAAAAAGTACTTTCAGTATCTGAGAGTGCTTTAAGTATCCGAAAGTTTACAGACAATCATAGTTATGGGTTTTTCTTTATTGCTGTTTGATTATTACTGATGAGATCATAGCCAGTGGCAGCTTTAACAGGCTGCATTCACACTAATGCACAGATCTATTTCGACATATCAGATGTTTTGTCCTGTTCTGAAAACATCACTCACTGTCTTTACATCAATTCGGAGATGCAAGTGCATTTAACCACAGCCGCGATCAAGCTTCAGGAGAACAAACACAAAGCAAACGTCAAAGTCTGTCAGTACGTGAGTTTCATGCATCTAATACGTACTGCATTCCAAACGGCGTCAATGAAAGCACATCTAAAGAAAAACACTGCAATAGCACTGGGTGGAAGCACACACTGTCAAGCAATGCGCACGTGTCTCACAGCGCAGATCCTGTGCACTGAAGCCCGCAGCAATTGTCTCTAGCACACACACATTTCAGAATTTTATTTTTTTTTTTCCACACTAAGCTTGGCTTTTCCAAAATGTACCCAGATCTTGGATTTAAAAATAGTGGGTGCATTTTTTAATACTCGCATGACAAGCACGTTTGCGAATGACGTCAGTAGGCTATAATCGATTATGGTCTATTACTGCATCGATGCAGAATCGTCCACATCCACATCAATGCATCGATGAAACAATTAATTTCAACACCCCTAATGAAAGGTGCAGATGGCAAGTCCGCATCGTCAACTTCATTAGAAACTTGATGAACACTGAAAATATATTTTTTTATGTATAAGAAAATTATGTATAAGAAAATTTACTTTTTTTTAGAGCAGTTAAATATTTCTGTCTCAGAAGTAAAAGTCAAAGTGGAACATGAAGAGTTTCAGACGTGGATGGCATCCCTACAGACACCTATAAACACATTAAGGTGTAATGAAACCCCCGATTTTAGCACCGGTTGTTCACACTTCAGATTTAAAATTAATGTCTCCACTGCATGCTGTTTTACGAATGTGTTGAAACTGCTTTGCCGCCGCCCTCACTCTGGAAAACTCTTCAGGGAATTTGAGGAAGCCACCTACAAAGTGTGACTCACAATTAACTCTGATGAAAAATATTGAAAAATAACTTGCAAAGGCAAGAAGGTTTCAACAACGCTTAGCCGCTCTACTTGCTTCAGATCAAACATGTTTGATCTGAAATACTGTGGTTATATTACACATCGCAAAAAAAGAGATATCAGAAGCAGAGGTTGTTTCAATTTGATGCAGAAAAAAAGTGTTCAACAGAACTGAAGACATCTACCTTGAAATGTTAATTGAAGTTTAATGTGAATAACAGTTGCTCAGATTCAGTTCAAACATGGAATTTCATTTAAGATGACCTTATAGTAACATTCTATGGATATATATAATTTTTTTTCCCATTAATTCACCTTTGCCCTGCTTTACAGAGCTCCCAGAACTCAAAGACATTAATGCATGGTTCCTGTAAAGCTACTGATATTGAGACATAGCAACATAGCAATCTATCGTTCTTTCTGTTACCAGTAAGTAAACCTAAAATGTCAAGATTTTTAAACTTTTTTGAAAACTTCCAAACAAGGCTTTATCAAGACAACATTAAAAGTGTGTCTCTGCTTTTAATTAAAAATGACATGTTTTAAATTTCTTAGAATTTTGATCATGTTTACTTACATTCAAACGGAACTGCTATTTTGTATAATGTTCATCATATCAGTTCAAATTCAATTCTAGAACTGAATTTGAATTTAAAGCAGTTCTCAGTTCAGTTGGTGCACAACCCTGCTTTCTCTGTCTTTGGCTCTCATCTGAGCCACTGCTCCATTAGAAATGATGAACATACTACTGATGAAAGAGCTGATTTAAGTAGAAATGATTTATTCTGACTTTTGAAGACATGAAAACATAAATCTTACATATGATGAATACAGTTCTGTCAGGACCACTATCGTCAAAATGATTGACACTTAGCATACAATTTGGATTGGCGGAATGGTTCTGTTCTGGGCAAAAAACTCCCTGCCCACCCATGCAGCCATGAAAGGAGGAGCTGGGGATGGAGGAGGGTAATTTGCTCCTGAGCAAGCGATAAAGCTGCTGAATAATACTGAATAGACCTTATATAGGAATGCCGTGATAGGCGTCATATTCCTAGGTAGATGTGGATCAGATGAGAGTCAGCCTATGCAAGCTTGACTCACGTGACCTGCCAGAACTAACGCTAGATGCTTCATTAGCTTCCTATTCAAGATTAAAAATCAGTAGCTTCCTATTCAAGATTCCCCCAAAAAACTATAAATGATAATAACGGATAATGACTAATTTCCCATTTCTATGAAATCACTGTTGCTGGAAGCCAAGAGCCATCAGGGAAAATAGGGTCACAACAAGACTGCATGAGAATATTAAAGGGGGGGGTGTATGCTATTCCATGCATTCTGACTTATTTACACTGTTAAAGAGTTGGACGTATTACATATTTCTGTGCCAAGGACACTCCTCCAGGCTTCGTATAAGTTTCTAAAAAGTTTTTTTTCGAGCATGGCCCTGTAAACAAATTCAATAACATTTAAGTCAATTAAGTTTTTGTTCCTGATTTATGTCGATGTCACAGTTTGCAGACGATCGTTACGCAAAAGCTTTGCATACTCGTGACTCTTTAGCTCCGCCCACGGCACGCCTCCAGGAGTTCGGCTGTTTTCGGAGAGAAGCGTAAAGCTGTATCTTTCTTTTATAAATCTGATAAAACTAAAGGCTCTTCTGAGATATGAATGATGCAATACTACTCTATAGTTACTCAAGATTAACACGAGATTGACAGAAACTGTGTGTGTTATGTCCGCATTAATGATGAAACGAAAAAAGATGTAATTGTGTTAAACACAAACAATTGAGAGAGTACAGAGTACAAGCTATGATATCTATGATATGACATCAGAAGACACAGAATGTAGCAAGTCTTATAAACTTGGTCCTTTTGTATTCGTTGTATTCTGATGCATCAGTCCTCGTTGATTGTAATCGTATGGAAAAGAGGGTGACCAGTGCATCGTTACAATTCTTACCTTTTGTGTCCCACAGAAGAATGAAAGTGATAAAGTTTGGAACATCAGTAATTAAATGACGGCAGAATTCGTCAGTCAGCCAACTGTTCAAATAACACTCATTGTTTGTTCAGTACTACTGCTCTAATACAACATTAATGACCAACAATATCTAAACATTACCTCAGCTGAGCAGAGAAACCTCATTATTCCTTTCAAGATCCATCAACAGAAATTACACACTCCATTGAAACTACTTTTTATGAAAATGCTGGTACGGCAAATCCACTATTGAGAAATCATTACCAAATCCATCAACATAACTAACAGCAGAGTGAACTAAAGCTACACACGTCACTCCCAAATGAGCGCTGAGCGTGAGCAGACGCTTACATGTGTACATGCTGGCAGCTGAGGTAATTGAAGAGGGCTGAGGCAGTGAAATATTACCAGACTAAAGCACTTACACACAATCGCCCCATGCGACAGCCTCTGCAAGGCAAATAAGCAATTATGTTTGTCCCTCGACTAATTGAAGCCTGGAGAATGAACTACAACATGATTAGCATAAGAACACCTAGACTCTGTGAAGGGTGGAGAGAGTTACAGTACACACACTAATGACTGCTGACTGAGAGTGAGGATGAGGGATAAAAAACAAACCCTGAAAGTTTAGTCAATCCATGAACCACTCTCTACCCGGCCACTTTCAAATTCTGTGTGAATGTGATTCTGCACAACAGCTGAACTAAAATATGCCTCACCCCACAGAATCAAATGCGGCATGAATTGTGGCATCATCAAATACAACAGGATCACAATTCATTTTTCACAACATTGCGCCAATATTTGATCCTTTTATTAACATTGCAATTCAATAACTAACGAAGCAAATAATTTAAATAAGCAGAGAATTAAAATAAGCAATAAACACACAGACACAGACACACACACACACACACACACACACACACATTGGAAAAAAACAAAAAGGCCTTGTCTGCTAATACCCATGTGAAAAAGAAGTGCTCTTAATTGTACTGAATGAGCACTTGTAGTGTACTTCAAATCTGAAAAGTATGTAAAAAAAAAAAAAACTGTGGTTGCAGATAAAATAAAATGAATGAAATAAAAGACCATATAAGTGTACTTAAAAAAAAAAAAACAGATCTCTAGAACAATTAAGTTACTGAAATGAAATATGCAAACACTGGCCATGAAGAAGTCTATGCTATTTCATCCAGTATAGAAGTTAAACTTTCAAAGTCGAGCTAAAAACATTCATAAGAGCACTAGACAATGTATAACCATCTACATAGCAGTGCTTATTCATGAAATATAACAGTAATAAGTATTGTTGCATGAATAATAAACAAATGATGAAATGACCCAACCTATAATAAAATATTAAAACATTTGAATGCAATAAATATTGTATAATTTAACTATGTCCATCTCCCCAAAACAGAGAAAACAACTTTCAAAAACATCTACATGTCTGTCCCTTTTAAGGTTTTTAGTGAATGAGTTTTATTTGTAGGTGTTATAATAGCACAAATCTAATGCCACCTCAGACCTCACTCATTTTCAAACCCTGGTTACAGCCATGGTACTAACCCTGAACCCAACCATGACTCTACCCGTTTTAAAGGGGTCATAAACTGAGAACTGCCTGTTTAGCCCCGCCCACCGATTCTACAGCACTGTCTGTTTAGCTTTGCCCAACGATTCACGCATGTAATGTAAATAATGAGAGGCAAAAGCAGGTCTACACAGAAACCAAACGATAAAGATGCTCCGCAGACAACAAGACGCTGTGCAGTGCTAAGCTGTGGAAAAACACATCGGATCACATCAGATCCCAACATTAGGAAAGACTGGATGAACTTTATTTTTACTGAAGATCCAGATCGCATCAGTGAGAACTTGGTCCTTTGTTGACGTCATACCTGTCACACTCACACACACATTGACTTTGTTTTCAGTTTGCACCGTCTTCCCTAAGTATCTGTTGTCATGATTGCTAATTTGTGCCATTCTGTTCAGCTGTGCACACCTCATTGACTTCACCTCATAGTTATCGGGTATTGTTTACACTTTGGTTGGATGCTCTGCTAACACTTTATTTTAAGGACTAGTTCTCACTATTAACTAGTTGCTTATTAGCATGCATGTTACGAGCATATTGGCTATTTATTAGTAGTTGCAAAGCACATATTAATGTCTTATTGTGCATGACCATATTTTAGATCCCTAAATCCTACCCAATACCTAAACTTAACAACTACCTTACTAACTATTAATAAGCAGCAAATTAGGGGTTTGTTCAGGAAAAAATGTTAACAGTGAATATGTGTTCCCTATTCTAAAGTGTCACCGATGCTTTTCTCTCCGCTTGGATCATACTGTGGATTTATTAAAGCCTGTTTGGAATTATCTCCATCTTCATAGTCCTGCTTGTTTGATACAAACTTAGTATCGTGGCAATACCGTGGATTTATTTATATTTGTTTCCAAACAAGGCACAGTTCGACTCAGGATTTTCAGAAAGATTGAATCTAAAAGATGATGCTGTGCGACTATATTGGATCTGAGAGTAATGTCGCACCACACAAGTGAGTAACTGTTTTTATTACGTGATCACTATTGCTTTGTTTGATATGAACTGAGTATTCATGCGTTTTTGACCTAAATCACAGCAGCGTCCATCTATGAAGGCTGTAGGCTGTCAAACAAACACAACTGTTAGCCAATCACAGCAATGATCGTTTACGTCAGTCTACAGTCCGCCACACCGGTTCACACAGAGCGTTCAGATGAAGGGGTCAAAACAGGACAGAAAATAACCGGTTACTTCTGAATTATGATGTTTATTTATGTACATGTAGTCCATCTAGTTACTTTATATTGCTTAGTACTTTCTTGGGGAAGTGGACTGTAAGTGCATGTACTGTACAATAAAGGTGTAACCTGAGGAAAAAAAAAAAGCTACATAACAAATTAAATAGACTTATCAACTTTTAAAAGAGAGAAGAAAACATTTCCCATATCTTTTGTTGTTTATGTCAAAGGCTGAACATCCAATCAAACTATATGGTGTAATGCATATTTTGGGTTGAATTGAATTGTTGATTATGTTGTACTAGTGTTTTGTGTGTTCAATTATTGGCTACTGAGAGCATGAAACCATTGCAATTCATGAGACAAAACCAAACACTCACATTCTGAACATGGGAAATGATGTTTGTGCATTTACAAAACTGTCAGTTTTCTTATTCAGCATATGTTATTTTATACATGCTGCATATTGCTGGGTTTATGCAGTTCACACCAATATTAACACTTTTTTAAGGGATATTTCATTTTATACAGTAAAAAAAAATTGGTAATGAGGCCAAAACAATCTCTTCTAAACAACTTTTTTTTCTGACAGCGCTGGAGTTGGCAGAAGACTGCTGATGCTGCACGGCATGTGCTGAGATAAAGCAAACACTGACTAGTACAGTAGTAAAATGCATCTCCCATTTCTGTACAGACACTTGAAAAGGTTGAAAAGCAGAGAGTTTTTATATCCCTGCTTCTCATTTCTTTCCTCTCCCTTTCTCTTTCTGCAAGCATGCTGACTACCAGTAATTTAACATTGCTTGCAGAATTAATTCATTCATTAACTTCAGTTCCTGAGGTTGTTTCCAATTAACCAAACACATCAAACGCAAACAAGCTCTGTCGCTGTACAAAACACATGAATAAACCAACAGAAAAGATGGTTTTAATTTCAGAAAATGATAAATGGGGAGCATTCATTCTGAGCCGTGTTCATTTTCAGATGGCGAGGTTTTCGCTTGACCTCTGAGGGTTTCATCGTAACGCATTTGCATGAGAATGCAAGCACGCGCCGCCTGACACACGGCGTAAATAAAAAATGCAAAAATAAGCAAAAAAAAATCTTTATTCCATTTTGCTGGTGGCCTTAGCTTATTAATTTTTCATATACTTCCATTTAAAAGTATGATCTTCCATTTAATTATGCTGAAGCGTGGTGTTCTGTGAGTCAATATTTGTGTTGTTGCTATAATTGGGCTTTGAGCACTGCGGGCAAACTGGGCTTTGCTGTGGTCGCCACATCTTAATCGCTCAGATAAATACAGGCCTTTGCAAAGATGGATGGCTTATGGCTACTGACCCGTGCAAAACAAACAAAAAAAAAAAAACACCTCTGGGGACATAAGAGTTTTCAAAATCAGAAAGTTTATGAACAACATGAGGATGAGAAGTGTAATAATGTGACTCTTCATCAGAAGTGAAAATACTTGATGATTATGCCACTTACTGAGCTGTTTGGGGGTTTGTTCTGAAAAAAAAGCTTCTTAAACACTAATGGATAAAATGCGTTATGAGCAGTGTTGCGGGTAATGCATTACAAGTATTGCAAGTTACGTAATCAGATTACTTTTTTTCAAGTAACTAGTAAAGTAACGCATTACTTTTTAATTTACAAGAGAATATCTGAGTTACTTTTTCAAATAAGAAACGCAAGTTACTTTTTTTCCCCAATTTATTGATTGACAGCTCTCCTGTCCCCATGTTGAGAGAAATCAGAAGATGTTACTGTAGTTCTAAAATAAATATGAATATGCATTAATGAAATGTGTTGAAATTTCTTCTTCTGCATTCTACTGTACGGACGTAAATTTACTTTCCCTTCAGCCTGAGGCTTATTCATTTCACTTTTGGTGTGAAAAGGCTTTTATATTTGCCAAAAATATAACTTTTTTATTTTAAAAACAAACAAGCAAGCCCTGTCCAGATTTAAAAAGTAACGCAAAAGTAACGTAACGCATTACTTTCCATAAAAAGTAACTGAGTACCGTAATTAGTTACTTTTTATGGAGTAACGCAATATTGTAATGCATTACTTTTAAAAGTAACTTTCCCCAACACTGGTTATGAGTTTGCAAAAACAGTCCTTGAAGTGAAAATGCTGGTGCTTTCAATCAAGACAATACGGTCTCATTATGTCTGTGAATGTATCTGCACAAGGTCTGTTCATTTAGTGCTTGATTTAACAATGAGAATGTTCCCCCGCATGCTAAAAGGTGGTTTTCATAGTTGAAATGTCTGAATTCTTGATTATGCAACTTAAATTACACAAATTCTTACTAAATCAAGGAGTGATGTGTGATAATGATATTTAGCTGAAGTGTGGATATGATGATGGAGTGTTGATGCTTTTATGGTTCATATTTCAGCACATCAAAAAACAAAAAAATCTGGTTACACTTTACTTGATGTATAATGCATTATAAAGGTATTCATAATATAAATGATAATGCATAATATATTTTAATAAATAATTGTAACCAAAGTTAACATGCAAATGTTTTGATACATCTGAAATTGGTTCTTAGCCATGGTATATATATATATATATATATATATATATATATATATTATCATGTATAATAACTGTGGATATAATTATTCATGCAATCATACATGTTATAAGGTGCATTACAAGACACAGTCAATGCATTAATGCACAATTACAAATACTTTTATAATGCATTATATATAAAAGCTTCATGTAAAGTGTTACAAAAAGGTACAGTAATTCCCATTACATTACTGCATAAATTAATAAATACTCACTGTCTTCCTCGGTCTGAAAGGTGACCTCTCTGCTCTCTTTCTTGCCCTCAGGATTGGCTAGTGCCAGCCGCACGTGAATGGCATGGAACGGAGGCAGGTCCCGGAGCGTGAAGCGGGAGGTGTTCCGCTCCACCGACAGACACTCCCTCACCGTGGCGTTATTCCCGCCGGCTCCGCCCCCCGCGGCCGTGGAGTAGCGGTAGCAGAGCGACAGCGAGTACGTATGGCAGCGCGTCAGGTTGTAGCCGACCGGCTCCCACTGCAGCAGCAGCTGACGAGACTGAATCTCCGACGCCGTCAGTCCTCTGAGCGGACGCATGGGCTCTGAGGAGAGAGAAGAGGCACAGAGTTATGCACATTTCCCACTTTCACTTGAGTTTGCTGTTATCATGTTGCTAAGCTAATGGCACAATACTCTGATAAGCCTAAAACAAACATAATAAAATAGTAATAATGCTTGTTTTCAGTACCCTGCAGTATTGAATGATTTAAATATGTTAAATATTATCAGCATTTTTCTTGGCTTGTCGGACATCTTGGATTATTACAAGACGTCAGACAATTATATAAAGTTTTATTGATCGATTGATTATATATATATATATAACTTATTCTGAAGCCATACAATATCCTTATGTGGAAAATGTTTAATTTATTGTCTTTTTGGAGCTTGATTACCATTATGAACATAACTATGAACTGTTGCATCACTATGAACTCTTCAGCATTTACATTTATTCATGTAGACAAAAGCGACTTCAATTCAACAAGCAATTCATCAGGAGCAGTTCACCCCAAGAAAAAAAAAATAGCTGAACATTTACTCACCCTCAGGGCATCTAAGTTTTTTTTTTTTTTTTTTTTTATCAAAACACCAAATGATTGGACAAGTCCTGGATCCAATTTCCAAACAGAAGTCTGACTTTTTTTTTTTTTACCAGAAAGTCATAAACCAAACATAAAAATGAAACATGCACAGATGAATTGTGCACAATAAGACCTATATTATGCATTTATATGAACTTGTATGAATTTCCATTTCATGGCGACTTTAAAGGTTCTTCATGAAATCTATGTACATAAACTTTTTTTAAATTTTTTTATACATGATGATATACATCAGGGGTGCCCAACCCTGTTCCTGGAGATCAACCTTCCTGCAGAGTTCAGTTCCAACCCTGATCAAACACACCTGTCTGTAATTATCAAGTGCTCCTTCAGATCCTAATTAGCTTGTTAAGCTGTGTTTGATCAGGGTTGGAGCTGAACTCTGCAGGAAGGTAGATCTCCAGGAACAGGGTTGGGCACCCCTGATATACATGATACATGATGATAGAATTTGGTCAAAACAAGGTATCTTAAGCTTCTTTTCCACCATCATGCATCGAATGGTTATAAGGATGGTAAGGTAAAGTTACATTTATATTTACAGTTTATTTACAGATTTGAAACCATCTCGGCACGGAATGGAACAATTAAACAACGAGAAGAGTTTGGCCCGATGATGGAAAAGCAGCTTAAGATACCTTGACCAAAGTCCACGTCTGTTATCTTAGTTAGGCTCACAAAAGTCTACAACAAATTTCCAGATTTTAGTACACAAGCATTTACCTCGAAGCTAGCAGATATCGACTATAAGACACATATCTCTCTAAATTAGATTTCACGGGTTCTTTATACAATCATAATATAATGTTTTTCCCTGGGAAACAGAGCAATCCATGACCTGACAGATGGATGGAGCCGGAGAGAGAACGGCTGACTCTCACTAACAAGTATGAACTCTAAAGCAGTGAGAGACAGAGCTGTTAAAGTACATTTCATAGGTAATTCAAAGAGTTATTATTACATATAAATTAGCATTTCATGAAGCTCTGCTTCCTCTCTCTCAGTGCAGATGCGATTAGAGCTGCTATGAGTTAATTACACATGTCATGTGTGAAGGCAGGGGTCCTCGTCTGTCATTCCTGTCACTTTAATTCCCTCTCTCTCACTCTGACGAGTGTTTCTTCCCAGAGACAGACAGACAGACAGACAGGAGACGAGCCCAGTGAGTCCTGCGTGTCTGTAAAAATAAAAGCACTTGGCAATACAACATGAGGAGCTCTACAACAAAAGCACACTGATGAATAAACACTGCCATTATACTTTAAAACTGAAAACATAAATATGAAAAAGAGGTCCTGCCAAAACATCTCCAGTTCATTTTTCACATTTTAAGATTTTAAGACTAAGAAACAATTTGGTAAAACTTTATGGATAATGCATAAATGTATTCATAATTATGTTATAACGCATTATATATTTTCCTAAATAATTGTAACCAAGGTTTAAATGCATTGTAATATTTGCAGATTCCTTGTTACATTTGATACAATTACAAATTGTTTGTTTGTCGTGTTTTAATGCATTTGGCTTTCTGAAGGTGTAACGATGAATAGATATTATGATGTTTTATAAGTGTGGTTATAATTATTCATGAGATCATACAATGCATTAAAACTACTTTTGGTCACACTTTATTTTGGGACCAATTCTTACTATTAACTGACTATTAACTACAACTTATGCCTCGATAAGCTCCTAATTTGCTGCTTATTAATAGTTAATAAGGTAGTTGTTAAATTTAAGTATGGGTTAGATTAAGGGATCTAAAAATGTGGTCATGGAGAATAAGGTATTAATAAGTGCTTTATAAGTATTAATAAACAGCCAATAACAATATGCACGCTAATAAGCAACTAGTTAATAATGATAATTGGTATATATATATATATATATATTTATTTATTTTTTTTACCAATTATCATTATTAACTAGCATATATATACAGTATATATAGGTTACAAAAAGGTAATTATCACAATATTGAATGAGTGAGTGAGTGAGTGAGTGAGTGAATGAGTGAGTGAATGAATACAAATAATAATCCCAGTAATGTGTATTGAAAATATGCAAATTACAAAAAAAATAAAATAATTTAAACAAACAGTAAACAAACTATTAAACTAGTTCATTTTGTGTAACAAACAAAAGTTAAATGCATTATGGTAATGAACATGAAATGTTTTTGTATTATAGCTATGATAATTTAGATGCAGTTGTTATGAAAATAATGTTGAATGCAAAAACTCTATAAAAATAGACTTCCTTGTCCTCAGTGAAAACATAATGCCTTATGTTTATTTATTTAGATTTTTTGGGGGTGAAACGTGTCTTCATGTTTACACTCCTCACTGCCTGAGACAGTCAGTGTCCAGTCAAGCCTGCAGACCCGCACCTCTGCCCTCCCTCCGAGTCCTCCAGACAAATCAAGCTGATTACGCTAATTAATGAGACACATCTACTGAAACTCCCACAGGCCTGATGAGGAATGGCCTAACTGCTGGATATGACAGACACACACACACACACACCTTTTGCCGCTTGCTCTCCCGAACGCAGGCTCTTCGCCACTTGCTTTCTCGAGCAAGGCCTTGTCGCCGTGTGGAGAACACTCTAACTTGTGCTCACAAGCTGAACCATCAGGCGATCGACCATCTGAGAACTCAAACACTTCAGTTGAAGCTTCGTAACTCGGCAGAACGCAAAGTCTTGCTAAAGCAGACTCTCTCAGAAGAACCAGAGGCTCCTCTGTAACCCGGCAACCAACGAACCAAGAAAACTTCATGCAACTCCGTTAACTCATTTCCTTCTTCTGAACTATGTGTGTGTGTGTGTTTTAGCTTAGTTTTAATGTAATCTATAATAACTAATAAATTCTTGTTTTCATTTATAAAGAAGTATTGTCTGGTGTCGTGACATTTTAAAGTGAAACCTTGCCAAGATCCTTGCTACCTAGCTCGTAGCTTACTTATCAAAGAACGTATTATCCTGTGGCCAAGGAAAATACACAGTCAGATTAAGATACACGGATATTAACGACTCGCTGGACGACCGTTGATAAGGTGTAAACTATTGAAATTTGAAATCAGTTCTAATCAGGTGGACGTCAAATTTTTAGATTCGAGTCCTTTCAAAACCTGAGCTAGAAATAAAATTAATGATTAATTCCCTTATAGAATTAATGAGTTAAATTCCTTACAGTACTACACCTTGTAATACCTATGTCATACCTTTGTCATTATACAAATTTATGTCCTCATTTGTCACAAAAAAGCAGAGACACGTCCACTGAGAACTCAAGTTTGACCTCTGATATAAATCTAATCTGTTTCACTCAGGACTGAGAGAGAGATACAGCAACAGAAAAAAAAAACACAGAGCAAAGGAAAAAGGCCAAAGACAGGAAAAACAAGAATGAGTGATGAAGACAGTGAAAAAAAGAGGCAGACAGAATAGAACAAGTGTGTGTATGTTGGCCCGCAGTGTCTATTGTGTAATATCAATGAGGTACAAGTTGATTTTTAATATATAGAATGATGTCTTAATATTTTTTGAAATGTTAATTTAGCATATTTCTGATTTAATCAGCATTTAGTACTACTTTCAATAACGTCTGTAAATATAATATATTCTAAAAGGTATGCACAATGCCTAATAATCCATTATATATTTAAAACAATTACATAAATATTGATAATATAATATAATATAATATAATATAATATATATATAATATATATGTGTGTACAGTGTGTATGTATGTATTAGTTTGTAATAATAAGGTCATCTGTATGTTAGTAATATACAGTACCTACATGAAAATAACTCCTTGAGTAGAGAGAAAGATGTATTATATTATAATATAAATATTCAAAGAAATACTTGTGAAATGATGCAGAGTAATACAGACATCCAGAGCAGTAATGCTTCTCTACTGTACACCTGCACCAAATCAGCCTCGACATCAGATTCCAAAAATAAAGATGTCTGCCACAGTAGCAACATGTGTGCGGTGTAAAGTTTGTTCAGGGACCATGTTCTTCTGATCAATAGAGTCTCAGAGCACCTTCGACATTGATACATTACGAAGTCCAAAAGGAAGGTTACAACACAAGTGCATTTATACTACAGTTGTGTCCAGTTTACTTCAGCCAGACAAACAACACACGCTCCTCAGAGGACCAGAGAATAAAGCCAAAATGTGATTATACAAGACGACTTGACTCTGTTTGGCTCATCCTTGATTCAATTTGAACTAAATTAAATTGTGGTTTTCAAAATTGTTAGTCCATTTTTGTTATCTTTGAGCTCATCTATCTGCTAGAGTCCATGTAACAGCATTACTATGACATCCCATAATCTCATGCATGTGCTTCCATGGTTACTGGGGAAAAAACTCTAAAACCTTAGTAAATTAATTTACTGTGGTGCCCTTGAACATCTGTCTGAACAGTTGACGGTCACATTTACCACAGGCGAAATCCACTGATTTTCATAAGAATCCACACGACTTCACACTTGAGTGGTCTCAAGTGCATTTTAACACTAAAAATGTTTAATGACACATTTAATAACTGACTAACGAGGAAGAAAAGAGAGTCCGCTCACCGGCACACTTGGTTCTGCTGACCAGCGGGGGTCCAGGCGGGCCGGTCCCACCCTCTCCGGGCCGCGTGAGGAGAACACTGATGCGATATTCGGTATCCGGCTCCAGGTGCCAGACTTTATACGTCAGTGAGTTGACTCCGTGCGTTTCAGACCAGGGCGAATGGCTGGCCCGGTACACGATCTCTCTGCGGATCACCGGCCCGTCGCCCACTATAGAGTTAGTGTTGAGCTGGATGATCAGGTAAGTGGGGCCAGAGCGCAGCAGCTGGGGCGGAGCTATCGGTGTGGGCGGGACTACAACAGAGTACAGCAAGAGAAAGAAAGAAGCAAAAATAACTCACGATGAAACGTGCAACTTAAAACTTTTAGATCAGACCAAAATGATCAGGGATCTTATTCAAAATAGATGTCAGGTAATCGTTTCGGATGTTGAGATTCTTCAGAACGAACTGCAGAGCAGCTGGTGCTACACAGACAGACCACTCAAGGTTTGACAGACTTTACCACATTTAACTCTTTTGTCAACAAATCTTCTGTGTTTAGGATTAATAGTATCTATTGCATACTGTGACTGGATGAGTCAAGTTTCTGAACATCAAATAAGCATTAAATAGTCCTTTTGGACTATGCTTACGGTATATTTTCATTGCACATTGAACCCATTTGTTATTGAATATCAAAGAAAATTTTCGAAATGTTAATCTGACCCCTTCAAAATCATACAAAATGATGCGGATGCTTTACAGGTGGAATCCTATTGAAATGCCTGGATTTTGACCACAAACTTTCGGTAACGGTTAACGTGACTGTACAGTCAACATACATTTAATTTAACACATTTTTGTTGTTGTTAATGTTTTAGGAAATACTTGTCCCAATAGCTAAAAAGCAACTTTTAAAAACATATTTAAATTGTATTGTAGGCAATATAATGCTGTTTCGGCAAAAAATAAATAAAATAAAATGTATGAAAAACTGACATTTATGAAAAACATTTGTGTCCACAATTACATTTTTACCTTTTGACTATAGATAGATAGATAGAGAGATAGACAGACAGACAGACAGACAGACAGATAGACAGACAGATAGATAGATAGATAGATAGATAGATAGATATCTATATGAATTGATAGAATTGAACTATCTATATGAATCACTGTGAATTTATAGATAGATAGATAGATAGATAGATAGATAGATGATAGACAGACACAGACCGACAGACAGACAGAGAGATAGATAGATAGATAGAGAGATAGATAGATAGATAGAGAGATAGATAGATAGATAGAGAGATAGATAGATAGATAGAGAGATAGATAGATAGATAGAGAGATAGATAGATAGATAGAGAGATAGATAGATAGATAGAGAGATAGATAGATAGATAGAGAGATAGATAGATAGATAGAGAGATAGATAGATAGATAGAGAGATAGATAGATAGATAGAGAGATAGATAGATAGATAGAGAGATAGATAGATAGATAGAGAGATAGATAGATAGATAGAGAGATAGATAGATAGATAGAGAGATAGATAGATAGATAGAGAGATAGATAGATAGATAGAGAGATAGATAGATAGATAGAGAGATAGATAGATAGATAGAGAGATAGATAGATAGATAGAGAGATAGATAGATAGATAGAGAGATAGATAGATAGATAGAGAGATAGATAGATAGATAGATAGATAGATAGATAGATAGATGGATAATGGACTAACTATTAATAAGCAGTAAATTAGGAGTTTATTGAGGGAAAACTCTTAGTTAATAGTTAGTTAATAGCGAGAATTCGACATTAAAAAAAGGGTGACAACACATTAAAAAAATTGGTGTAAAACCAGAGTATTTCCATTCATCTTTTGATTAATATGGCATTAATATTGTATGAAATTATCTCAGATTGAAGGAAATTACGCTTATGTCTCACTACATTTAATCTGTAGCGGTAATATGTTAATAAACTAAACAGAGAGATTTCTTTTTTCTTTTTACAAATAACTGACAGTGTCATATTCAAACGAATAAAATTTGTATCCTTATCGCTCAGTGTTTCTAATCTCTCAAATGAAATGAATCAACATCTCTGTATGAGATGTTATCAGTATAACAGTATGACTGCGAAACCTTGACCTTCAATATTGCAGTTAATCACACTGCTGCATAAAAAAATCAAATACGAATCAAGCTAACGAAAGCACAGAAGCAGAGAAACATGCCTGAACACAGAATAAAGCTGCTTTCACAATAGAAGTTGCTGCCTCTCACGCTTGCCTGCTGACAATAGTCTTACAATTGGAAAGCCACTTGTCCAATTTAACTGGCTTATTATGAGCTGCTCCTAACAGACCCTTTTTCTTCCAGAAGAGGTGGACGAGATGTTCCAGGACTTGATGAACCTGTTGTGTATTGCACAATATAAGGTATAACTGCAGGAACATCTTAGCTTGGCAAATCCAGAAAATTATGCCAAATTCTGTGTTGAATCTAAAGCTGATCCTATAAACACTGACATTCAAAAGTGACTGTTTTACTGCATTTGTAATCAAATAATGAGTCTTATGAACCAGTTCTTTGCAATGAATAACTAAAAAAATTACTCATAAATCGGTATAAATGTTATCAGTCTGAATAATTCTAACGACTCACTCACTCACTCATGTATGAGCTAAACTAATCATAATCTGAAGTGGATTTATGTGTTCATATGGTAAGTGAGGTTTCAAGTCTATTTTGAGAGACAGGAAATTGCCTGAATTAAGAAGTACATGCAAAGCATCATGGGTTGCTCCTGTTGCTCTTTTATTCATGTCTGCGTGATCCCTTGTCACACTGTGACGCAAATACAGCACACTTCAGCAGCTAATAAAGGAAGTTAAAAAATAAACTCTAGCCACTGTGAAGTACGTAATTCACTCGCTCAAACAGAACACAACAGCACTGATTACTCCTTTGTTTTGTTGACTTTCGGTGGCATTACCTCAGCTCCGGGAGAACCGTGACTCGCTCACTCTTTCAATCACGCCACCATCGCGAGAGCCACTTGTAGCGAGCAAAATCATTACCAGGGCCATGACGAGGCAGCGTGTGGTCATTTGCATAACTGATTGCACCAGTAATTTGGTTATTTTTGGGTGAGATATGTCTCTGATTGGTGGATATGAGTGTAATCAGTCCGCTGGCTCTCTCTCTCGAGTGCTCTAGTCAGAGAGGTTGCAACTCTTTCAGGCTTTTGCTGAAGAGATGTGATGTTACAGCGATTCAGCGAGATGCGCTCAGATGCTGGTGTTTTGATTGGGAGTTCAGAGGATCAGAAGAGTGCAGAACGTTCTGTGCTGTGAGAGAATAACCTGGCAATAGCAAAGAATAATGGCTGAAGTATGATATAATTTGAAGCGTAATGTCTGGAATTTATGGTTCCTTATTCTAGCTGAGACCCATCAGCTTAGACACAAAAGGGCCATCTGACACTGATTAAATATTTTAAAGGGGGGTACAATGCTGTTTCATGCATTCAGAGTTCTTTACACTGTTAAAGAGTTGGATTCTCATACTATTACTAAATACTATGACAGAGTATTTCTGTGCTAAAAATCTTACTTCCGGGTTCGTACAAGTTTCGGAGAGTTTTTTTCGATCGTGGCTCTTCATGACTTAGACAAGGGTGGAACTCCTTATATGGGCATTTCGGTAACACTTTAGAATAGGGAACACTTATTCACTATTAACTACGACTTTTCCCTCAATAAATTCCTAATTTGCTGCTTATTAATAGTTAGTAAGGTAGTTGTTAAGTTTAGGTATTGACTAGTTAAGAGACCCTAAAATAAAGTGTTACCGGCATTTCTCCCTGAAGAGCGCGCCCGTGCACGCATCGACCAGAGCAAGAGCGAGAGCGAGATCGCGCCCATCAACGAGCGTCATCCGGCGGCAGCGCTGCACGGGACTCGCTCGGGAAGAATGTCTTCAAAGAAGTGTGTGTTTTGGTTTTAAGGGAAAGATAACTTTGTTCAGCTTCCTAAAGAACCCAGCATTATGTAAACAGTGGATACAGTTTGTTATTCCGGGGCAGCAACGGAGTTTCACAAGAGTGTTTGTTGATGAACGTTTTATAAACAATGCCCAGTTCAACGCTGGATTTGCACATCGATTGATACTGAAAGATGGAGCGGCCCCAGCTATAAAAGATCCCGGTCATGATCTGGAACTGCAGACGGTAAGTGAAACAGCATCAAATGTCTGTTTTGTTGGCATTCGGTGCTCAAGTCCTCGTCACTCTTTAGCTCCGCCCACGGCACGCCTCCGGGAGCTCGGCTTTTTCCGGAGAGAATCGTAAAGCTGTATATTTCTTTTATAAATATGATAAAACGAAAGACTTTTTGGAGATATGAAGGATGCAGTACTACTCTATAGGTACTCAAGATTAAAGAGATTGGGTGAAACTGTGTGTGTTATGCCCCCTTTAATTTAAATCCGCATGTCTTAAAGGGACAGTCCACCCAAAACATTCTCTCATCATTTACTCTCCCTCATGTCGTCCCAGATGTATATTACTTTCTTTCTTCAGATGAACACAAACAAAGATTTTTAGGAAAATAATACATCTCTATGCAAAAGGACTATGCAAAATGAACACGACGATAATCCATGCAACTCCAGCTGATGAATCTTTTTAAACCATAAATCATCGCTTTCAGCCAACAGCATATGTGGGTTGATCAAGAGTGTTGTTTTAAATATCTCAAGAAATATTTGTCACACACATCTATCATTCTATCACTTCAGAAGACATTGATTAGGCAGTGTAATAAATAATAGCATGATATATAAATATTTCACAATTTAAAGGGGTCATATGATGCGATTTAAATTTTTCCTTTCTCTTTGGAGTGTTACAAGCTCTTGGTGCATAAAGAAGATCTGTAAAGTTGCAAAGACTAAAGTCTCAAATCCAAAGATTCCAAAAGAGGACATGACTAGAAATCAGTGGTTAAGTTGTATTTACAACACTGTTTCAGAACAGTTCAACCCGAATATTCAGATGTGTGCAATGCATTTTGCGGAGGATGAGGACTGTTTCCTGTGAAAGTAGCCTACAATGCCGGTGTTTGTTTCTATAAAGTGGGGCAGTTCCAACTTTGCAAGGACAGTCTGGTACTTCTGACTCACAGCCTGTAAGTACATTTTTTTATATTTAAAGAGTTTGCCACTGACAATTCAAAAGCGAGTTTTGAGCAGTGTAGAGTAGCGCTTGTTGTTTGTTGTTTCTCCAGACATGGTTTTATGTTTACGCAGCGCGATACGCAATGTGTAATAACACAGTATAAGTCATTATAATCAGTAATTATGTCCCCACTGGATGCAACAAATGCCTCGTTTATAATGGGTTTTAATGTTTTTGTCTCGTCGCTCCGGCCGGACAGGGCATCAAAGTATGGTAAGGGGT